GTGGGCCGACAGCTAGTTTGCCATTCTAAGTTGTATAAAAAAAACGACCTTATTTTTATTGGTAGCGTGGAAACTAAATGCAACATTATCCATGAAATGATAAAGATGAAAATCAACTGAAATTTCTTGTAATACTAAAATTTAAACTTAGTAATATAATAGATTTATAATTATTATAATAAAAATATATGCTTATCATAAATTACTAAAAGTATAAAAACTATATCAAAATAAACAATTTTAATAATTTGTTTCACAATTGGAAGGTAAAAAATAAAATATTTCTGTATTAGTCTCATAATGTATTTTTTTATACAACTTAGAATGGCAAACAAGCTGACAGCCCACCTGATGGAAAGTGGTAAGCGTCGCCTATAAAATACCATGGACATCAGAGTATACTGTTTTGCCCATTCTGCGTTGCCATTCCTGAGGACTCAGATGTTATTCCTCTGTACCCTGTAAATTCACGCCATATACCCTTCAAACCGAAGCACAGCCATGCAAACATAACGAATAGACAGAGCAATAACTTCCGAATTCCTATGTAATAAATCCGGATAGAGTAATCCATCTAAATTCGGGATATACCAAAAGCATTAGACTATTCGTATATCGTTAAGATTAAAGTAGATTTGAAAAAAGATCTCACAATGTTTATGTAGTTATTTAATTGTTACTAGCAACCCACCCCGGCTTCGTACGGATTCTTTACAAAAAATATAAAATAGCCTATGGTACTTCGAGGAGATACATTATTATTATTGTAGTACATTATTTTATCTATCTTGTAGCATTCAGCCAGCGTTTGCAATGTAATCGCAAAAATATGCGTTAATTTACGACATCACATTAGAAACCTCCAAAATTATCAGTGTTTCTCTACTACATTATGCATGTATTATACATATAAACCGTCCTCTTGGATCACTCTATCTATTGAAAACACCGCATCAAAATCAGTTGCCTGATTTTAAAGATATAAGCAAACATAAGGTCTGACAGCAGGAAGCGAGTTTGTTTTATAATATGTAGTGATGATAACACGATAACTACTTATCATGGGCAATTATAAAAAAAACGGATATACGAAAATAAAATTTATTTATATCCCCATTTAATAAACAGAGTACTTGTGCCCCAAATTATTAAAATTACATAGTCATGATTATTGCTATTAGAATCTAAATCAGATACAATGTATTTGGCCATACAATTATTTTATTGAGTAATCCAATTTCAATTCTTATATCTAGATATTAAATTGAATATGGCTTCCTTTGCTATTTATTTTACTAGTAATAATATGTATATAAAAATAAAATTAAACGCTAAAGGTGTTGCTAAGTGCAAAACTCGAGTATGGCTGAAACAATAGAATTATTTTTTTATTTATAATATTCGTTGAAATCTGAAAAAGGTTTTTATATAGATAAAAATCTGTTTAGCCCCCGTAGTCGGTAGTAGGGATCAAAACGACTTTTACTGGGTCAGATACTCATAAATAAAAATATATTGCTATTTTTTATTTTTTAAATAGTATTAACTGAGTATTAGTGTACATATATAATTATTTATAATTTATGTAAATATTTATTTAAATTTCTGTCTTGCACTACTGCCCACTCAATTTGCGTTAGGTTGACTGGAAGAAATCTCTTTTAGAGATAAGTTCGCCTTTGCTTACTGTATGTTTTAGTGTAAAGAATATATAATAATAATAATAATATATAATAATATATAATAATTGATTTGCAGTATGACGAGAAAGTTTTTTTTAAAAAAAACAGGTATAAAAATGGAATAAAAATATTGAAGGTAATTTTGCCTGCATATCTACATAATTTTACCATTAAGGTCAGTGATATATGAACTGTTTCTAATATTAGGATTATGAAAATATGATTACAATATTTAAACAATATTATTTATAATATTTTTTGATTCAACAGTTGACATGATTATGAATCATAAAGTATTATATTATTTTATGATAAAATACTTAACCTTAATAACCCCAAAACATTATGATGGGTAAACAAAAATATTTACAAAAAAGTCGCACGATTAAAAATTATCCACCGAATAGTGGCCCTTATAACTCCGGAGCTCGCTACCTCTCTCAAAGATAAGGCAGACAGTCCCAAAGAGATCCGCCTCAGATATATCTTGGCTAACAATTAACAATGAGACATTATACTGAGGAGTAATGCTGCCGATAATTACCTACAAAGTCGATTTGTTTGGTGAGCTTAAATTATAGCGTCTCGCTGTATTACATGTTTTAATTGTGTATCCGTTCGAACATTGTTCTGTATTATTATTAAATGAATTTTGCAAGCCAGTAAAGGTAAAGTTTGGTATCTTTTGTCCTTTTGTATGAGTTTATCGTTCTACATGAAAGAGCATCTCGAGACAACTGCAGTGCTTATGGAAATTATTTTAGTATGAATATAATTAGGTGATCTATTGATCACGATGTATCATTAACAGACTTCGTTTTGACTCTTACACAAACTAGAAATAGAAACTATCTAGAAAGAATTGTTACTTTAAAAGAGTATTTAAAATTCATTAAATTCGGCAAATAATAGGAAAAGTAATTAAATTCTAAAATCATGTACATCGAATGTCTTGTAACTTATGATAAATGTATTCTATTATTAACCCATGGTGTTCCACTGCTGGGCATAGGTCTTCGTCATCTCCTTTTAAAAGTTCCTGTTCTGCGCCACTTCAAACCAGTCCCTTTTGAATGTTTCTAGGTCATCATAGGACACCATCGCTTCCTGAGTTGACCTCTGCGACGCTGTCTATCAGTAGGTACCCACTGGGTGTAGATCTTTGCCCCTGTAGGGGAGCAAAGCTGAGCATATTATACAAGAAAAAATACTATGTGTAAACTTAAAATTTTGCATAAAATTTCCATTATTATGAAATAAAAAAAATGTTGTTTTAAAATAAAATTGTGAAACCATTTTTAAAATATATAATAAAGAACTATATAGCGTAGCTAATATAAACATATGAATTGATTGTATGGAAAATTTCGAATGTCTCTGGATTGTTTATATTTAAAATAAATTACGGATAATGATCTTGGAATGAGCTATCATTTACATGTGTTTCCTATTTGTTATCAATATATCCTATTTAGATAACGAAAGAACAATTTAATACACATTGAGTAATAATAAAATTGCTATAATCAAAGAACAAAGATTCCCCAATAAGTTTTTATTTAGCCCCCCGTAACAGATTATTCCCGGATATTAATTTCTAGGTTTTTTTAGCTAATTTAATTCCCTTCTAAGTTCTACCATGTTCCCTTCATTACCCATTTTTCATTCCACTTTTTCCCATTTGTCGTAACGATCTTATTGGTTTATTTCAAATTTCCGTAAATTTTTGTCCTCAGTTTAAATCAGTTTTGGTTTGTCGAAGAACCACAGTCCCTCTGCATAGTGTTATTTTTATTGTACAGTACCGTCCACATCCTCGCATATGAATCAGTTTTATGTTCTATTATTCTCAGGTACAATATCGTTCTGTTCTTTTATTTATTTTTGTGTATTGTCTTAATTTTCCAGTTCTTAATTATATATTATTACATACTATTACAATGTTCTATATTATATTTTATATACTTATTTATAATATTTTCAATAAGTTTTTGAAAAATTCTTTTTTTTTTTTAATTTTTTACATGTATCAGATGAAAAATGATGAATTGATTTTAAATTTAAATTGACAAGGGTTAAAACTAGTTGCTTTAAATAACTATTGTGGTAGTTTTAATGTAACTCATATGAATGGATCATTATTAAGACTCTATAGATTTAAAAATATAAAAAAGAGATTTGGAAGTAAAAACATATGTTTGCGAGAAAAATAAGGAGCATAATAATAATAAAAGTGGCACATCTTAATAAGCTAATACGCTTTGGATTATACATTACCCAAAGCTAAAGTTCATATTTTCAATTTTTTATGTCTATATATATATATTATAACAGGAAATTGATAAACTTACTGTGTTTTTGTCGTTTGTAACAATTATTTCGATTTCATGTGAAAGTTAAATTTTTTTCATATTTTTAATAATTATTTTAACGATGTTGATGGTGAGCCGCATGTTTGTTTACCCCCAGTTACAAAATGTTATTAAAAATATACGATTTTTTTTACTTAATAATAGGTGACTCTTTATATTTAACAAAAAAAAATTAGTTCAAGTATTGGTTATTTAATACAAATTTATCTTAGTTTTTTCAAGAGAATTAATATAACTATGTCTAATATATGATGTTGTAAGTAAAGAAATATTGGTCTAAATTAGAAATAAAATGAAAAATATAAAAATAATATAAAATATACAAAAACAAAATCTAGAATAAACGTATTTATTTAACAAAAAAAAAATAATCTATGATGTTACTGTCAAATAATATTAAAAATAAGTAAGTAGGTAGGTTTTATTAATAAATCTAAGTACTGGGTAGTGTTCGTACACGTAGTCAGAAAAATAGTTAATGGTTCAAAAAAGAGGGTTAACGTAGTCAGAAAAATTGTTTATGGTTCATTGGGATAAAATGAGTTCAGTAAAAGCACCAAAAATAAACTTTTATTTTTATAAAATCCATACGTGTACCACACTCATGTTGATAAAACTTAAGATTTATTAATATGTAGGTTTTTACACAAATAAATTTATTCTTTTAAAGCTGAAGTCTTTGTTTTTCCATGGAGGCTTACCTGTTATCATTAACAGTCTAGAATTAAATCCATGTCTTTGTTTTTATTACTTTTTCATTAATCTCAGGTCATTAAAGTTTGTAAAAATGAGACTACCTGATACTAATTACATATTATTATCAATAAATCAACTAATTTAAATGGCAACGTCATTTATAAATCAATTAATGATTAGATTAAAAAAGAATTCTATACCTATCAAAATATATTAAGATTGTGATTGCAATACTTGGATTTTGTTTATATTAGTAATTAATAAGTGAACGTTAGTACGTATTTTGGTGTTCAGTTTTAGCGTCAAATGTTTTACATTTATGTTTCAATATGAAATTTAAATTAGTTTTCATATTTATCTCAGTTTTTATTATTAATGTTAACGGTTATATTGATTTAGTATACAATCGTACAAATGTTTTTGATCCTAAAATATACGAGGACATATTAGATCGTGAAGAATGTTTTAAACAAATAAGATATATTGCTACAAGGAATGCCTTCCTAGGGGTCCAATGTAAGTATGAAATTATAATTGCCATTTTTCATTAATTCAAATCTGTCCAAATACTGTTTGTGTTTGTTTGAGGTATTTAATAATAATAATAATCTTTATTAGAAAAACTTTTTGTTATAATAATAATGTAGGGTAAGATTCCAGCCGCATTACTTAAAACGTATAATGTATGTATATTTTTTTACGTATACGGCCTTCTCCCGTGTTGGCCTAATTTTATTTTATTCTCGACACTATTTTATTTTCTTGGGAAATTCAGATTATAATAAGAGTAAATGTATTTGTAGATATAGAAATATAAATTTTGAATGGAAATGTTTTTAATTTAATATTCCTATGAAAAGTTTCATTGCATTAATCAATATTTCTTATTTATTTTAAAATAAGTATGGTTAATCGAGGGCGAGGGATGGGCAGCATCGTCCCTCTTAAAACATCTCTAAAGCCTAACAGCGGTTGCCAATCCGCCTGCCAAGCGTGACAACTACTGGCAAACCCCCCTAGGGAGAGGCTTATGTTTAGCAGTGGACAGTTAAAAGCTGATATGATGATAATCCTTTACGGACTAGATAACACTGATTTCTGACTTGTTTACATTTATTACAGTCTCTCTTTTTCCTTTCTCAGAAAATAGTTAATTTAATCTATAATTATGCAGATTGTCCTAAAAATAATCCATATTATTGAAAACATATATAAAATTCATTCGTTTTGTCCAAAAATGGTAGAACTGAATATAAACAAATATGTAAAGATATTGTTCCTTAAAAAAAAACGAAATTTTAATTATAATATATGTTAATTTTGGTACTCAAAAAAGCTAGTTTATTTGTGAATACACACATAGGTCCAAGTCAGTCGTTAACTGTCCACAGCTGAATATAGGCCTCCCCATAAGGGAGGTATTGAACGTACATAGATATCGACGATTTTAAGAAATAATTTACTACAAACATTAAGTACTCGTACTTAATTATCATAGAAATTTATTACAGAAAATTTATCTTATTTAGAATTTTGAAAAAAAAAATCTTTAAAAGCAGAGCTATATGTATAAAGTATGTATATAGATTATTATCGCCATTTTTTTCTCCTAGCGAAAAAACTGTAGCTTCAATGAATAATGAACAATAATTATAAGACCTACATGGGAATAAATTGTAAATGATTTTTAAAAGAATTATAAAATTTACGAATTAATTATGCTTAAAAATGTGTGAACCACATGAAAGTAAACCCTATTCAATTATAAAGCTAATCATATAGTTTGTATATGTAAATAATACAGATGAATTGAGGATCTTTGTCTTTTTAAAAGAAAATGAATTGAAAACTATTTGGAAGTAAGTATTAGCAGCTGGTATCAGATAGCATTTTATCTAAAAAATGCTATTATCTTATAAAGTATCATATCTGAAACATATAAAGCTGAGATTGATTAAGTTAGATAAACAATGATAAAACTTTCAAATAGTCTTCCACGTTCTTCACTATTCTAATAAATACCAGTAGAATCAAAATTAAAAACGAACATAAAATTTCTAAAAATTTTGGCAAAAGATTCTATTAAATCTTAAAATTTATTCTTTTCTATTGATCATACAAAGACCCCTCATATTAATTTTTCTTCAATATCTTCCATGTACAAACATCGTCTTGTTACAATTTTATTATATTAATGAGATTTTCCTTCGAAATTGTTCATTATTCTCCTAAGTATAAGTTCCTGAAGCGAAAAATTTGAAATAATTGTAGTTTATTAAAGTACATGTAAATATTACAAAGTTTTTTTTTTTTTTATACAACTTATAATGGCATACAAGCTGATGGCCCACCTGATGGAAAGTGGTAACCGTCACCTATAGACATGAGCAGTACTATGGACATAACAGAGTGTACTGTTTTGCCCATGCGTTGCCATTCCTAAGGACTCAGATGTTATTCCTCTGTACCCAGTAAATTCATGCCATATCCCACCCTTCAAACCGAAACACAGCTATGCAAACACAACTGCTTCACGGTTGAAACACGAATGCGACAGAGGTACCCAAGCTATAGACTTTTATACAAAGTCTCCCTCTGAAGATGAAAGTACCCGTAACTGGTAAACGTATATGAAAAGATTGATGAATGTAGAAGAAGCGAAAGAGGTTTGTTTAAATCGAAGCATTTGGCGTTCCATTGTTTCTGCCTACCTTAATGGGAGACAGGCGTGACAGATATTTATGTATGTATGTAAATATTACAAAAATAAAATAAGATAATGTTTCTAAATAGCATTCTTTGAGAAATTACCAAAAAACTTCTAAAAACAAACTTATGACTAAGTTTGTATTTGCAGATTTTGAGAGTATCATGGGTGAAACAGTATACTCTATTATATCCATGGTACTGCTCATGTCTATAGGCGACGGTTACCATTTTCCATCAGGTGACCCGTCAGCTTGTTTGGCATTCTAAGTTGCATAAAAAAACAATAATGTACTTTAACTTGTTATAGTTTTTAATTTACATAAATAATTATTTAACTTAACATAAACTTTTACAATTAAATTAACTGCAATGCTTTCCTATAGAAACCCCCTCCTATACCAAAGTAAACAATAATAAACCTATTCACTCGTATTTTGTATAAGAAATGCAATAAATGTATATTTTATCTTCTACTAGTGATCCGCCCTAGGTTTGCACAGTTAGATATAGCAGATAGATTAATATATATATATATATAGCCTTTATTGCTTGCTGACGGTGCAGCTTTCTATAGAAGAAATAATTTTTAGAATCTCTTAAGTGGTTTTTAAATTAATTCCCTCTTTATAATATTTGTGTACATTTGTGTACGGAACCCTTAATCATCATGTGAGTTCAATTCGCACCTGATCGGTTTTATTTTCATTTTGAATTAATACAGAGCTTGTATTTCTTTCCAGTTTTAGATGCAGGCTTTAGAATTCCACGAAGCATACAAAAAGGGAACTTATTCGATTTAGGAAGTTATTATGAATGTTTAGGCATACACAACGATGTTCAAAATACAAGCATGAGTATAGAAGGAAAATTTTGTATGACAAAAATACCATTACAGCAAGATACTGATGTAAATGCAACCAGTCTCCGAGTACGGCCGGAATTTTCAGAATTATCATGGCTGGTATCATGGTTCAATTCACAATTATTAAACGTAGACAGTACTACTTACGAAGATCTGATATCGCATATAAGAGTAAAGAGCCAAATTCAAAAATTAGTGGGAATAACACCAGATAATATGCAAAGGTAAGTGTCAATTATTAGAATAAATTATTAGACAAAATGTTTCAGTTACTAATAATTATTTTATCTCAAGAAAGATTTAAGAAGAAGAATACATAAAAAATTATTCAATTTTTAAAATGACTAGTATGAAATCTAATATACGAATACTTTTATAATTAAAAGGTAACGATAACGATAAACAATCAAAAGTCGTTTGCATGGGTGCCTCTGTTCCCTTTGTGTTTTTACTGTGAATCAGTTGTGTTGCATGGCTGTGTTTCGGTTTGAAGGGTGGGATATGGCAGTGAATTTACAAGGTACAGAGAAATAACACCTGATTCCTCAGAAATGGCAACGCATCATCATGGTATTATGGGCGAAACAGTACTGTGTTATATTCATGTCTATAGGCGACGGTTACCACTTTCCATCAGGTGGGCCGTGAGCTTGTTTGCTATTCTAAGTTGAAAAAAAAAGATGTTATAAATTTTAAAATAAATAAATTAACATAGAAATATGTGTTTAGTAATATATAATATGAGATGGCTAATCTTTCAAGTAATAAATAAATGATCAGATATTGTATAGTTAATTTTAATCGATAATTAAAATAATTGATGGGCTGCATCATCTCACTTAAAATATCACCAAAGTCTAACTGCGGTTGCGAACCCGCCAGGCGCAGCAACTAGTTTCTCTGATATGGGGCAGCAGCCATATCAGTAGAAGGCCGAAGAATATACTTTTGGAAGGGCTTTTAGTTAGAGATCAGAAGGAGACACATCTGTCTTTATACAGTGGTGCAGAAAGCAAGATGGGGAACTACTTCAATATAATTTCATAAATAGCAAATAGCATATTATTAGGATTGAAAGACAAGATTTTTCAGGCAGAAGAATCTGTGACACTGCGACCTTTCGATGAACTCTTATGCTCGCTCTTTTTTTAAGTTCGTTGCTAATTTCTATCAATGAAAGGAATTTTAAAATGTTTTTTGTAGCGTCAGTTTTTTATCTCTTTAGGATATAAAGTGTGTTTTCCAAAGGAGATATATCTTTTATGTATAAATGGGCTACAGCCGTACATGAAGTGCTGCGGTGTTTCTTCCCCACTGTGACAAAATCTGCCAACACTTAGGTATAAGCCTAGTTAGGACATATGCTTGTTTAGTTTGCACTGTCTAATGAGAGCCCTTGTTAATACACATATTGTATATAATTTTTACTCAAAAGAATTAATTTCTTAGAGTAATTTTCGGAAAATCCCTTAATCAGGGCTTTTGAATCGTTTAGTCTTGGCAACAGAAGCACAAATAGCATAACAATGAGTAAATTTATGTTAATATTATATTTCAGAAATGATCAGACTGCAATCACTGAACTAAGTATTCAGATGGCAGTGTGCATTCCAAAGCCGTGCTCTTTACAGAATGCACTAGACGCTATACTGGATCTCCGACCAACTGATTTGCAAATTGAGGAAGCGTATTGTAGGATTCCTAACGACAGACCGTGGATTGCTGCAGATTATGTTGCTTTGTAAGTAAATAAGTTATTATTATTAAATTTTACATTTTAATTTTAACAAAATTTAAATTCAAAGTATACTTGTAATTATAATACCAAGTAAATATAATATTATTATATTGCTAGTTTTTACCCACGACTTCTTGTATATAACCGGGATAAAAAGTAGGGTATGAACTTCTCCTTCAAACGTATACGTGTGTGTATACCAAATTTTATAGTAAATTATTTGTTTTTTTGTGACGGGTGAAATTGGAATGGTAACCCCGCCTGCGCTAACGGGATACGCTGGCGGAGCACCAGTGAATGAATGAAATGAGGCCAGTTAGCCCATCATGATAAATTCATCAGGAATTAACTATGATAGTTTCCAGGGAGAACCGCGAGGGGATCGACCTGATTAGTTATATTGCTAGCAATGGGATTCTTAGTCTCCATTATTAACAATCCTTTTCCCCCCTATAGTGATTGGTTAAGCCGTTAAAGCGCTGTGTAAGGTAACAAACAAACTTACTTTTGCATTTATAATATTAGTGAGAATTAAGAATATTAATAAAAACATTTCTTCGGCTCGTAAATATATATTTAAGGATTTACCACATGATAATTAATATTTACAATAAATTTTATAGATAAACTAGTTGTTACCCGTGGCTTTACACACGTAGTGACGCCTTTAAGTTGAAAGTTACAAATGTCATCTCTTAGTTATAAAATAAACCTGTGCTCCAAACAGCTTTCTTTACTTAGTAGTTTTAGTTGTGACCGATTTTATAACTATAGTTACTTGTTTCAGAGGCATATTCACATTCCTTGGTATACTTATGGTACTGAGTACTGCTTACGATATACGACATCAAATATTTTTAAAAAAAGGTAAGAAATTAATCTTTGCTTCCTTAAATGATCTTGTTAAATATATTTTAATGAAAATTATGAATGAAATATATTACGTAAGAAATAGAGATGATGAAACTTGTATATTAAATATTTCACCGGTTTGTTTGAAGTACACTCCAATATCATATTATTATATTACTAAGGAAACATGTCCTTATTATGCTTTATCTATAAATTCCAATTTATGACATAACTAGCCTTTACTCGCGATTTTGTCCGCATAACTGTTTACTGATCGGGTTAAAAGTAGCCTATATCCTTGTCCACCATATATAGTACGTATACGTGTATACCAAATTTCATAGTGAATGGTTAAGCCATTAAGGCACTATAAGATTACAAACTAACAAACTCACTTTCACATTTATAATGTTAAAAAGAATTGTTATAGATACGTAAGTAAGTAAAGAAGGGTACATCATAAAATCTTTATAAATTCAACACTTGTATCAGGTAAAAAATAAGCAAAATAGTTAGTGATTAATTTCATATATTTATTTTCTGTTAATAAATTATCAATCAAATATTTAAAATAGTTTATTTTGTTAAAGTTGTGTAGAAGTCTCGAACTAACAGTGAAACCTATTTTGTTTTCAGACCCAAAAACCGCGAATAAGATATATCAATCCTTCTCCGTTTACACCAACACTCTACGATTGGTGACCTACAAACCAGTCGCTGGAGCCTTGGAATGCTTAGACGGTATCAGGGCATTTGCCATGATATGGGTCATAATTGGGCATACATATGTGAACCAATTAACAGCAGCTACGTTGCACAATCCTCTAGATATTAAAACAGTAAGTAAATTAGCAGATATTTTTAAAGGGGAATTATGGAAATTTCAGTTTCACTTCATTTTCTGTAAGAGTATTAAACTTGTAAATTACGAGTAAAATTTTAAATTGTGTACTGCAAAAAATAGACTTCAATTATGACAAAACCATTTCAATTTAAAAACTTAACTATATAATCAATTTTGATAAAATTTCTATGAGACTGCTCTCTATGTATACTCTTTTATACAAAAAAAGAATTTTCCAAATTGGTTTTTAATTGACGGAGTTATGAGGTAACAAACATAAAAAATACAACTAAACTGAAACCCTTTTCTTTTTTATTGTGCCCTCAATTTTATTTGTGTGATTAAAAATAACACATGTCCTTCTCCATGCAAAAAAAATTGTGTAAACTGAATTTAATATCAATTAGTTAAGCAAATAAAGTTGAAGGAGACATTGAAAATTATTTTGTTTATACAATCATTGTTTCTTTATATTTCTTTAACCTCCTATTTAAACATATATTTACGGAAAATTATATATTTTTCCAAATGAACTTATTAATATCTATTAATAATAATAATATGTATTTAATAACAATTAAGTGAGAAAATTATATCAAAATTGTTGGAAACATTGAAAATATTTTTTTTTGTATTCTTTAATTGTTTCTGTACATTTCATTAACTTAAACCTTGACGATTTCTACACAAAAAAAAATCATAATGAACTTATATATATCTAGAAAAAATATAAAAAAATGGTTTATTTTCTTTTATTTACAGTTCATAGAATCGTTTTGGTCATTATGGATAACGGCTGGCCCTATTACGGTGGACACGTTCTTCGCTCTTAGCGGTCTTCTGCTAATTTATAGTACAGCAGGCAAAATGACTGGGTGTAAGTTGATTTTACCAACAATTATATCTTATATCCGTCTGATCCCGACATAGAATAGGCCACCCCTTCTATTCCCGTGGGTATCCTAAGAGGCAACTAAAGGAGGGCGAGGAATGGGTAGCAGTGTCCTTCTTAAAACATCTCCAAAGCCCAACTGCGGTTGCCAATCCACCTACCAAGCGTGGTAACTACTCTCAAAACTCTCCAAGGGGAAGACTTATGTTTAGCAGTGGATAGTTAAAGGCTGGCATGATAATGATGATATCTTATGTACTAAATTCTTTTTAATTATATACTAGATAGATATTTCACGTTTGATTTGTGTGAGAGCCAGCGTATACTTTTTAACAGAGTGAGACTGTACAAAAGTCATCTATTTGGATACCTTTGTTTCATTCGTGTTTCTGCTGTGAAACAGTTGTGTTTGTACGGCTGTGTTTCGGTTTGAAGGGTGAAAAATGGCGTGAATTTACAGGGTACAGAGGAATAACACCTGAATTCTCAGGAATGGCAACCCATGGGGGGTATCATGGGCAAAACAGTATACTCTGTTATGTCCATGGTACTGCTCATGTCTATAGGCGATGGTTACCACTTTACATCAGGTGGGCCGTCAGCTTGTTTGCCATTCTAAGTTGTATATAAAAAAAGCCTTTATAATGAAAAGACTATGTACTATCGAATCCATATAAATGGCAAAAATTATAATTAGATATCCCATATGTCTTTATATTGACGTATTGGTTTATTATATATTACCGATATACTATTGTAACTTTCAAGAAAAGTACATTTCTTTTTTAAAAAGCCAGCGACACACCTGCAATTCTTTCGAAGCTGCGGATACTTATGGGCGGCGGTAGTCACTTACTATCAGATGAGCCGCATGCTCGTTTGCCCTCTGTGTTATAAAAAACAAATTGTCCTAAAAGTTTAAATGAACGTGAAAAAAAAAAAATTTTTTTCAGTGAAACTCGTGAAGAACTTGCACCTGTTCTACTTGAATCGATATCTACGTCTATTCCCCGTGCTAGCGGCTTGTGTACTCCTTCAAGCATCGCTGTTCCATCGAGCATCAGACGGACCCGTCTGGGACGAAGTTGGGCGACAAACGCACCATTGTAGAAAGTATTGGTGGTCTACGTTATTGTTCATGCAGAATTATTATAACCCCGGCTATATGGTAAGTGGTAAATAGTAGTATATATTTTCGACCGACTTAAAAAATACGAAGATTTGCAATTCGGTGGTACATTTTTATGTTTGTAACCTTACAACTCTGTCAGATTTAAACCAATTTGAAAAATTCATCTTCTATCTAAAAGATATCATTTTACTTACATATTAGACTTATAGAAATTTTATCGAAATTGTTTCAGTAATTCAGTTTTTAAATCAATAGAACTGGTTTTGTTACAACTGAAGTCGGTTTTCTTATTGGTCACAATCTTAAATTGTTTTATAATGCTTCAATGGCAAATAAACTAACAATAACTAATAGAAAGTAGTAATTGTTGCCAATAGATTATGGATATCAAATAATATACTATAATGCCCACGATATTCCCCATGCGTAGCTATTCCTGAGAATTGTGAAATAATATGCCTCCGTACTTATAATTTCACTACTGTATCCCTGCAAACCGAAACACAGTCACGTACAGCTGTTTCATAGTAGAAATACAGGATAAAGGGGGCATCATACAGACAAGTTTTGCAACAATTTTCCTCTGGTAATAAATAATTTATTTTATCTATGGTATACTAACTAACTAACTAATATAACTAACAATTAAAATAATATATTTTTATTATTCCAGTGTCTTCCACATTCCTGGTATCTGGCAATAGATTTCCAACTCTTCTTGATATCTCCTCTTATTCTCTTCTGGGTGGTTAGCGGCAAAAAGAAAACAGCTTGGATTACAATAATTTCTGCTTTATTAGCTTCTCTAGTGGGAACTACCATCTATAACTTTATAATGGGATTCAAAGGCGGGCCTGTCACTCTTAGGTAATTATTTAAAAAATTACTTTATTGATATTATTACAAAAACCATTTCCAATATAGCCGTGTATGCCCCAGCATAGAATGAGCCACCCCTACCTTTCTCGTGGGTTTCTTAAGACGCGACTAAGGGAGGACGAGGGATGGGCAGCAGCGTCCCTCATATAATGTAAATAAAACAACAATAAAGAGTTTACATTCATTTATTCATAAAAATTTAATTAATTCAGAGATCCACCAAATAACAACAATGCTGAAGTTACTTTATACTAATAAGAGAAACGAATATGATCAAAAGAAAGTACGTATTAATGTTGAGATTAGGACAAATACATTACTGATTAGAAGTTTGTCGTCATTGTTTTGGCATGTATTTAATATGTATGTATATATATAATTATATAAATACGTATACATATATACATATATGCCGCCTATTTACTCGCTATACTGCTGTGCTAAGTTGACTGGAAGAGATCTATTTTAGAGATAAGTTCACCTTTTACTCACATTGATTCTAATTGTTTTTATTACTGTAAATGTTTTAGTACAATAAATATTATTATAATTGTTATAAATTTGTATAATATTAGAGTTGAATCATGCGTTTCCGTTTGGTGGAATTTCTAATTTTATGTTCATTATAAAATCTCACTACTGTACTAGTATTATTCCATAAATATTTTTTTAAATAATACCTGATTAGTATTCTCTGTATAACATTCGCATAATAAACGTTCTCGTCTATAAATAAATGTATTGATTTACAATAATTTTGTTTCTCAAAATTTCTTCGGCCTTTATTATAGAAATGCATTTTTTATAATAGGAGTCAAAGAAATTTTTCAATTGTAGCTATTGTGGTAAACGTGTTAACATGAGGACATTTCGTCTATTTTTTTTACACTATTTAACAATAGATGGCGTTTTCTGTTTCAGTCCTGTAAAAGAAGGCCAGCCAGATTATTTCAGTTATTATTATGTGAACACGCTGCCAAGATCACCACCCTTCTTCGTGGGAATGATATTTGGATATATTCTTCACCTTTGCCGTGGAAAGAAAGTTGTTATGTCAAAAGTAAGAAATATACATATTTTTTTTATTTTCAATACTTTTATAGTTATTGCTAGTATTTCACTATATAATCGCTACGAAATTGCGATTAATGTGTCGTAACCTAATGGCGGCCATATAGGTCAGTCAAAGTCTACCTGCGTTCAAATAATGCTTATATATAAGGCCGTATTAATTTTTATAAACAGATATCAGTGTTGAACATAGGTTTTCAGGGGGAAAGGGATTGTTAGCAATGGAGTTTGACAGCCTCATTGCTAGCAAAATGCTCTATTAGGTCGACCTCCACGTGGTTCCCCCTGGAAACCGTCGTGAACAATTCTTGTTGAATTCATCACGATGGGCTAACTGACCTGCTTCATCCTCGCCTATCATCTTTCACTGGTGCCCCGCCGGTGTATATCGATAGCACGGGTAGGGTTATCATTCCATTGTCACCCATTAAAAAAAAAACGTAGGTTTTCATCATATTTTGCCACAAAGTACAACCCAGCATCAACTGCAACTAACAACTTACTGCAGTACTTTTAAGATCATCACGCCATCTCGTGTCCCATATTATGCTTGCCGACAAAGATTCATTGGGGGGACAGGGATTGTTAGTAGTGAAATCCAACAGACCTAATATTGGCAATATACCTAACAAATAGAATTCAACATGGTTCCCCCTGCAAACCATTGTGGTTGATTATTGATGAATTCGTCACGACGGACCAACTGACCTGCTTCATTCTCACCTATCATCCCTAACTGATGTTCCGCCACCATATCCCAATAGCGCAGGCAGGATGACCATTCCATTTTCATTCATTAAAAATAAAAACAGATTCACCACTTGAGTACCTTTCTTCCGCGAGGGTTATCGCCAATTGCTATTCCTACTTACAAATTATTTTTGGACTATGGCGGTTACTTCAATTATTCCGTAAATATCCACATTCTAATATGCTCATATAATAGAAAGTAATAATCGTCTATGGACATCATATTGTATTCTGTAATTCCCACGACACCCTTCATGTGCTGTCATTCTAGAGGTCTAAAACACAGTAATGCGGTTCAATTCTTCCAGGAAACCGTCGTGGTTAATTCTTATAGAACTCGTCACGATGGGCTAACTAACCTGCTTTCATTCTCATCTATCATCTCTCACTGAAACCTTACCAGGACTATCGCTATCGCTGAATTATTATTCCATTCTTACTCATTAAAAAAAAAAAACCCTATTTACATATACATATTTTTCTTTTATTACAGGTACAAGTTATTCTGCTATGGTTCATAGCCATAATATTATCATCCGCAGCACTTTGTACTAATTATCTTGTTTTACAAGAAGACTGGGACAATCAGACAGTCGACGATCTAATCAATTCTTACATGAGACCCATTTGGGCTTTAAGTATTTGTTGGATAATCTTTGCCTGCACGCATGGATATGGAGGTTTGATTCTGTTTATCTATAAATTTCATATACATTACATATACAAACGTACATACATATGCTGTATGTTTCTGGTAAAAAAACGGCCACCCCTGCCTTTCCTATAGGCGTCATAAGAGGCACGGACAGTAACTTTCCTTTTAAAATATCATCCAAGTCTAACTACAATTGCCAAGCCGCCTGCTTAGCGTGATAATTACTGGGAAAATACTACTTATAAGTATCCCCTATAGGGGAGCCCTAAGTTCAGCAGTGGCGACGATGCTAGCATTACGATGATGACTTACATATCTATCACACCTGTTTCACATAGAGGTAGAAGAATCAATGGGATCCTAATTTGTCGCCCGTGTACCTTGTCCTTTTCTTTACACCCTAATAATTCACTCTTGCGCCACCTACGCGCTTCTATATGTTCTCCTTTAACCAAATATTGTCTGTCTGTAAGAGATTGTCCTAGCGATAAGACCGCCTTTTGTACTCGTACCTTTATATGTATATTTTAACCTGTACCTTATGCTATTGTATTTCAGTTGAATTATTTATATGTCATTGTTTATATTTATGTTTTTGGCGCAATAAAATGTTAAGTAAATAAGTAAATACAAATATACAATATAGCTTATCCAAACAAAAACATCTCTCTATTTTCAGGACCTATCAACTGGATTTTATCTCATCCTATGTGGAAGATATTGGGAAGATTATCTTACGCCATGTATCTTTTCCACTATCCAATTATTATCCTCATTAATGCTTCATCGATATCTCCTATGTATTTCTCTAATGAATTCTCTGTAAGTACCTATTAAAATGTAATACTCTTGCCACAAAAAATTAAACTTGGATTATTAGGTCTTAAACATATTTATCGTTTGTTTATACATAAGCAAGCTTTGAATTTTAATAAATGTGAACCAAAAATGTATTTTATAATAAGACTCTTTACACATGTATATATATTATATATATATATATATATATATATATATATATATATATATATATATATATATATATATATATATATATATATCACAAGTTTAGCTTTTTATGTTAATACAGCTATATTTATATACTAAATGAAATCCTGACTAAATGATTCATCGTTATTCAGAGCTAAAACTATTGAAAACAATGTAGATTGTATGAGACAAGTAATAAATAAGAACTTTCGAAAATGCATGCAGTAGAAATAATATAAAGAAAAAATAATATTAAGGGGTCTTAATTAGGCCAATAGAACTCAGAGCAATAATTATTAAACTTTTTTTTCTATCTGTCTATGTTTGTTTTAGATTTACTCAAAAACTACAACACAAAATTAGATACAGTTTCCATAATTGCATTCCTAAAAGCCTAACTTAAAAATTCATGTATATTAATTAATCCTTGGTACAGCATCTAGAAGTGTACGAAGTGGCGGGCAAAAAGCTACGCATTTATATGAAAGTTTCTGGTATAAAACCAAGAAACACATGATTAAAAAACCCTTTTTTTTAATAAATGCTGAATTAATAATAATTTATTATATATTTGCATAGAATAGGCCACTTCTAGTTAACGACTGATAAAGTGATTATTTCATATTACCTATTTCAGCTTTATTATTTTTGTATTACATATTTCAGATACGAAGATTTATGACTGACTTCACAATATCTGTTTTGGCGGCATATTTTGTCACGTTGTTTGTAGATGCACCCAGCTCTGTGTTGATCAAGCACTTCATTGGAGGAGGCGGAGGTACAATCTATATACTTTATTTATATATAATAAAAGTGTAACTGGACTATGTCCGTAGATATAAAATATTTAAAATAGTATTAGGAGTAAATTGTTAATAAGAGTTATAGAAAACAAAACAATATTTTTTTAGATTTTTTCTGTCTGTTTGTGTGTATCACCATTAAGCAAAGTTACAGCTTCAAATTGTATGCGCTTTCAAATATGATTAAAATAAAAATAAAAAAACACTAAAGACAAATATATAAATGCTTATGGGAATTGCTATATGGTACTTTATAAATAAAATTAGCGCCTTCATTTTGTAAGCATATTGTTCAATTGTTATCATTTAAAATAGATTTTTATTTATTATCGTAAAATAGTTTTAAGATCGAGAATATATCTCTATTTGACAGTTTAAATTATTTAGTGTAATAGTAGTTTTTTAGTAGGTGATAATGGAGTGGTAACCTCGTCTGTACTAGCGGGATACGTTGGTAGGGCGCTAGGGAGGGATAGGACGAGGATGAAAGCAGGTCAGTTAGCCTATTGTGACGAATTCAATGAAAATCAATCACGATGTTTTGCAGGGGATACCGCAAGGATTTTGACCTCATAGGGAGTATTGCTAGCAATAGAGCTATTAGATACCATTGATAATAATCCCTTTTCTGCTTTTATAATATTGGTAACCGTCGCCAATAAACATAAATGGCACTGCAGATATCACAAATTTATAAAATATACTGCACTGCCCATGCGTTACCAGTCCTGAGAACTAAGATGTTACGCTTCTGTATCTTGTAATTTTACTGCCACGCCATTCAAACAAAAATACAGCTATACAAGTACAATTGCCAAATAGCAAAGATATGGGGGGAAAGGGATTGTTAGTAATGGAGTGTAACTTACCCAATACTAGCAATACACCCTAACAGGTCGACCTCCACGTGGATCCTCCTGGAAACCATAGTGTTTAATTGTAGTGGAATTCATCACGATGGGCTAACTGACCTGCTTTCATCGTCACCTATCATCCTTCACCGGTACCCCGCCAGTATATACCGATAGCACAGGCGGGGTTTCCATTTCATTATCACCCATTTAAAAAAATAGCAGATAACTGCTACAAATTAACATCTAAATTACAATTATAATAACTTCATTAATTTGCATGTATAACTAAATATCTCTTACGTAATTGAATTGCAGGTAAAAGAAGACCAGAACCTGTAAAACCATTGAACAGCACCAATGGACCGACATCGTCAAGTAAAGGCAACGTGGAAGCACCAGAAGAAGAAGTAGTTAATAAAACTAGTTTATAAACTTATGTGTTCGTAGTTCATTTCTTATTGCCATTTATTTTCATATATTCTAACAAAATTGCCGTGTGGTCCCGTCATAGAATAGGCCACCCCTTCCTTTCCCATGGGTGTCGTAAGAGGCGACTAAGTGTGGACGAAGGATGGGCTGCAGCGTCCCTCTTAAAACATCTCCAAAGCCTAACTGAGATCTCCAATCCGCCTGCCAAGCATGGTAACTACTGGAAAAACTCCCCAAGGGGAAGGCTTATGTTTTACAATGGATAGTTAAATGCTGATATGATAATAGTGTTAATTCTAATAAAATCCTGTTAAAAAAATAAATATTTCTTAACAGAATTTTGCTGTGAAAAGTACACTGACAATAGTAACACTCGAGAACTGGTGATATAATTACAAATAAGTGGAAAACTACACTAAGTATAGAACTACACTACACTAAGAAGCTTTTTCATATGATATTCCACGTGGGTAATAGATTAATTTTGAAATTTTCAGTATCCCTTTAAGCCCCCTGATAAAAATAATAAAAATATTTTTTAACCTATTTTCATTTTAACATGTTTTTTTTTATTCTTTATTCTTTATTGTACACAAAACATACTGTTAATTACAATTCATTATAAACATAATGTACAAAGGCGAGCTTATCTCTAATAAGAGATTTCTTCCAGCAAAACCTTTCCATGTTAATTGTGTTATTTTAAAAATATAATGTTTGAAACAATAATATGTATATAAAACTATTACAAATTACAAGTCGATAGCATTAGTATTTAATGAGATATAACAAACGGACAGATGGACAAATTAGTATCATAAGGGGTTTATTGTATTTTTTTTTGGTATGGAGTCATAAAAATATAGGCGATTTGTAAATTGTGTACTTCAGTAAATCTCTGAAAAAAATTATATGATATTTTTTTGTTTATTACAAAATCATAATAATAATATAATAATAATAATATAATTTTTAACATTAACATTTAATCAAAACTAATGGTGTTTAAATCTAACAAATACACTTTTCTAAGTATTATTATTTGATCCGATGTTTTTTTTTTTTTTTTTTTTATTATAAGAGGCAATATTTATGCGTTATTTACTAAAATCTCTTACAATTTTATTTTAACTATTACACACTATAAAGGTTTACTTGAGTGATAAACAAGCAAGATGTTAGTAGATCATACACGGGATTTTAAACGACCATGTTAATTTAAAAAGTACATTTAAATATACATAAATATTGTTAATTTGGATTTAAAAGAGTAACTGTCGAGTTTCTTGCGGATTCTTCTCAGCAGATCTGGATGAGTAGCGGTCCACTACCGTACGTTTTTAAGGCACTTTCTTCCATACACAACCACGCTTTGGAATCAACTTCCAGCAGCAGTATTTCCGAAACGATATGATATCATAACCTTCAAGAAAAGAGCGTGTTCCTTTTTAAAAGACTGGCAGCATACCTGCAATGTCTCTGGTGTCGTGGGTGATCATGAGCGGCGGTAGTCAGTTACTATCAGATGAATCGCATGCTTGTTCGCCTTCTGTTTTATAAAAAAAAGGTAACATTCCGTAACCAGTAGTAAAATCGTAAAAGACGATGATTTAAAAGATTACTTAGTAAACAAATCTAATTGAATAAAGATGAGTCAAATATGACTTTGTTAATGTTTTATTGCTTTCATTGAAACGGAAAACTTAGTTCAAAATAAAAAAAAAAATCAAAACTACAATAGTTATAATTAAATTATTTTAGTTCCGGAAAAACCTATTATTTATATTGAAAAACCAAACTAGTAAACCAATTTTGATAGGATTCCTATTAAACCAATCTGTAAATATATATTTTGTATATAAAAAAGAATTTTCCAAATCGGTTTATAACGGAATGAGTTACGAGGTAATTGACATTAACTAGACATAAAATATACAACCGAATTGGGAACCCCCTTCTTTTTAAAGTCGGTGAAAATAGGTATATGAGACATTTTAAGTTTTTAAAAAGAAAGTAATCAGAGACCATATTTTTAAGGTTCATTATATTTTAATTAAAAAAAAAAAAACTACAACATAGATTCATTTATTTATTTATTTCTCTCACAAAATGACAACATAATAAAATTTACAGCTATATAGGTTACAATTTTAAAACAATCATTGTGAGAGACTGGTGTCGGTACTAGGATTACCCATCTTACAGATCGCCAGGCTCTTAAACTCAAAGACATCTATATTACTTGATCTATAAGGTAAGAGTACACAAGTTAATAAATAAAATTAGGAAAATTTTATAATCTACGTATATGTATGGGTGAATATGGTTCAGGTATGTACTAGTATAGAGATAACTGAATACCGACTTTATTATATCCATCCATCGATTAATACATCCGTAGATCTATTTATAGAACCCATGTCACACATCATCACATCAGCTTTTAACTGTCCACTGCTGAACATAAACCTCCCCCGTAGGGATTTTGCCAGCAGTTACCACACTTGGTAAGCAAATTGGCAGCCACAATTAGGCTTTAGAGATGTTTTAAGAGGGACGCTACTGCCCATCCCTCGCCCTCCCTTAGTCGCTTCTTACGATATCAACGGGGAAGGAAAGGGTGGCCTTTTCTATGCCAAAACCACACACCCAGTGATAAAATTTGTATTGTTCGTGTCACACATATTGTCTGAAATTTGACTTTTCACGTAATCTTATCTTACTAATATTATTAAGATATTAAAATTGCAACTAGACTGTATATCTGTACATGAAAGATAATAACATTAATATGGGTGGTCTTTAAAACCAATATATGCCAAAATATTATTGTTTAGATAATTTGCTTGTCTGTTTTTCTGTCAGTACGTTTATTTTGGCATCATTAAAAATTTTGGCATCACTCACCAAAGGGAGACAAAAGTCGATTCTTTGGGTACCTCTGTCCCATTCGTGTTTCTACCGTGAAGCAGTTGTGTTTGCATAGCTGTGTTTCGGTTTGAAGGGTGGGATATGGCGTGAATTTACTGGGTACAGAGGAATAACACCTGAGTTCTCAGGAATGGCAACGCATGGTGGGTATCATGGGCGAAACAGTATACTCTGTTATGTCCATGGTACTGCTCATGTCTATAGGCGACGGTTACCACTTTCCATCAGGTGGGCCGTCAGCTTGTTTGCCATTCTAAGTTACATAAAAAAATGTAATAAACCAAATTAAATGCAATTATTGCAATGCAAGTAGAAGGGCGCAGTAATAAAACATTAATGTATTTGCGATATAAAATAATGAGTTTAATGAAAAAACACAAGACACGTTTTATAAAAATCTGACACAAAACAAACTTAAAAATAGATAGATACTCTTTATTGTTTCCTCCAAATAATTAATAGTAAACTTATTCTAGATATAAAAAATCACAACGAGGAAACAATGGGCGACCTTTCCGCTCAAAGCGATCTCTTCTAGGCAAACTTTGGATGGAGAGGAGTTAAAGGAGTATAAACAGTTTGATTGGAGGTACGATGAAGATCCTATTATTTCTAAATATGGAGATGTAATACATGTAACAATGTATTACATCTCCATATTTATCCCTACTCACTTTTAATCTATACATACATTGTATATAAAATAATACATTGTTCTGAATAACCTCAGGGTCAACAGCCAGTATTAAAACTCTAACAGTTATTACAGTTATATTCCCGAAGGTTTAACTTAAAATGTAATGTATGTTTTCCTTTGATGTCTCATCTAGAATCTCTGGTTGTCTACTTTTAAAATACACAAGTGCAAAGTAGCTTACTTCTGTAATTCGCACGTACGAAGTAACGGGCGAAAGACTAGTATACAAATAAAAATACAAATTAGGTAGATAATATATACTATAGATTAATATAATTACTTATATAACAATAAAAACTTTATCAATATAATTTAAATGTCGTTATCATATAAATCAGTTAATGATTAGATTAACCAACAAAAAGTTTGTGTGGTTTTTAATACTTAGATTTTATTTATTATTAATATAAAATAAGGAATAGTTAATACGTATTGTGTAAAGTTTAAGTCTGAATTTTTAATGTTTTCATGTATTTTTCAATATGGAATTTAATTTATTTTTTATAATTAATTTACTGTTTGTTTTTACGGTTAATGCTTACATTGAAGTCGATTACGATCGCACGAATGTTTTTGATCCTAAAATATACGAAGATGTGTTGAATAAAGAACAATGTGACCAACAAATTAAGTATATTGTGACAAATGCCATCTTGCTTCGATGTAAGTTTGAACCTATAATTACTACAATATTAAATAAATTTCATAAAATAGAACATTTACTAGTTTAAATTGTAGCAATACATTATTTAAAATAATCACAATGAAGAAACGATACTATTTTTCTCTTTTTTTTTTTAGATATGTTTAAATGTATCTCTAACAAAAACTTCTGTTTATGATCGACTGGCAAAAATCGCCATTAGGTGTTATATTAGCCATGTGTATTTTTGTTACGTACAAAGTTAAATAAATAAGTAATCGGTTTTAATCTTTAAACCTGTTCCCATATTTTAGTTCACTATTTGGAGATAGCAACATTTTCCATTTAAGAACTCATCAACATCTCACTGGTTTCTTCCCATAATAATATCTAGTGCACTGTTACCACGTTTGCAGACAGTTTGTTATAGGGTCCCTTTTTTTTTAATCTACGTTTAATTTGGGATTTTTGTTTTTTAACATGTCAATCCTATAAAATCTAAACAAGTTATCTGCGATTATAATTATGACTAAACAATGCAAAACCAAAATTGCTTTGTGCTTAAGTGAATTAGTTACTTACTAATTCACTTAAGCACAAAGCAATTTTGGTAGTAGGAGCATGCATTAAGCTCTGAACAATCCCCACATCAAATTTATTAATATTAAATGTTTTTAAAAATGTTTCCCTTTCCCTTCGGCTCCTATCACATTCCATCAATAGGTGCTGTACATCTTCAACTTTTCCACAGACAAATCCTTCCCTTCCTAATGCAGATATTCTTACACCGATTATCAATCGGTTTCACATTATACAGAGAAGGTGCATATGGCAATTAATCAGTATCAAATAACGATGTGAACATTATCATCAATGATTAGAAGATTCCAGTGATAAATTTCAGTGATATCCGTTAATTTTTTTTAAGTATGAATGAGCAATAAATGATTATAAAGATTAGCTGCAAGAAGACTACCAAATGAATGTCACGTGAACCAAATCCCGGATTAATGTATAATATACTTTTAATTCCGACTCTCACATGCAAACCATCATGTTATCACTAGTATTTATTAACATTATAATAGGGAGTCATGAATATCCTTTTGGTGGATTTGTTACGCAATTTGGCATACGCGTTGTATTTTTTTTTTTTTTCACGTAAATAGAAATCGTATACAAACTGATCGCTAACTTTATAGAAAGAGGTAACTACAGCTACTATTTAGCTAAAAATAAAAGAATTCAGATACTATTTTTGAACTCATATAATCAACATCTAGGTTACGAGTAAAAAGTATAGTCAACTGGCTATAAGTTAAAAATGAAACGTATAACAAATCTGTGGAGAGGTCAATTCTGTACATGAAATATATTTCCAAAATAATTATCAGGGGGTGATTAGTGATCGATACTGATGCCAAAAATGCAATCAGTAAAATTTTTGTCTGTCTGTCTGTATGTTCGTTATAGAAACAAAAACTACTAGACGGATTTTAACGAAACTTGGTACAATTATTCTCTATACTCCTGGGCAGGTTATAGTATACTTTTCATCACGCTACGATCAATAGGAGCAGAGCAGTGAAGGGAAATGTTAAAAATGTCCACCGGTGCGACGCCGGGACGGGCCGCTAGTATAAAAATAAAAGTTATATACTCATATATAGTTTGTATTTGTTTCAGTTTTGGATGCCAGTTTGAGAATACCAAGAAGTTTACAAAAAGGAAATTTAGTGGATTTAGGCAGTTACTATGAATGTTTAGGAATAAAGAAGAACGAAGGGGATATGAATATAGAAGGAAAATTCTGTATGATGAAAATACCACTAGGTCAAAATATTAGTTTGGACAGACACTCAACAAGATTCCCAGAAATACCATGGCCAGAAATAAATCCAAATATACTAAATATTGATGATAAAACTCACAAAGATCTGTTATCGCAAAGAGAATTAAAGAGAAAACTTCAAATATTGGGTGGAATCACACCAGAATCTATAAAGAGGTAAATGTGTCTAAATTATTTAAAATTTGTAAATATCATTGAAAGTTACTATAATATCAAATATTTTATTTCGATATTATCTATATAACTAAATATAAATAATTAAGTTTTTGCTTCACAAAGCAGAGTAATTTAATCAAAATAAAATTAACACAAACCATCTTGTTTTTGTGTTAATTTTCTTTTTGTTTTATTAATAATTTTAATTTTATTTCATGGCAACAAATGCTATAAGATTTTTACGAATTGTTAAAATTTATCTAGAATAGGGTATCTCGTAATTCTTCTATATTAATATAAGAGGGCAGGTTAAAGAGTTTATAATGGATAAACTGAAGAACTATTGGACCGGTATTAAAAATTCTCCCAACTATAAAAAGCTACATTATCAGCGAATAAACATAACCTATATACTATTTTCCAAAATTAAAATGTAATATATTTTTTTATACAACTTAGAATGACAAACAAGCTGATGGCCCACCTGGTGGAAAGTGGTAACCGTCGCCTATAGACATGAGCAGTATCATGGATATAACAGAGTATACTGTTTCGCCTATGATACCTCCCATACGTTGCCATTCCTGAGGACTCAGGTATTATTCCTCTGTATCCTGTAAATTCACACCATATCCCACCTTTCAAACCGAAACACAGCCATGCAAACATAACTGCTTCACGGTAGAAACACGAATGGGGACAGAGGTACCCAAGCAATCGACTTTTGTACAAAGTCTCCCTCTGGTAATATATTACATACCAATATTATTACGTTACAACCCCCAAGTGGTATACCCATGTTCAGCAATGGAAAGTCAACAGTCGGTATGATGGTAACACCAAAGTCCAACTGCGATTGCCAACAAGCCTACCAAGCGTAGTAATTACTGGCAATATCCCCCAAAAGGGAGAGGCCTATGCTCAGCAGTGGATAGTAAACGGCTTATAAGACATATTACAGATTAGTTATAAGACGAATAATTTTGAGGCGGCCCGGATTTCTGTGTAAAGAGAAATAATAAGATGACATCTTATGTAACCAATCAAGTAAATAACCGTATTTTAATTTTCAGAGATGATGATGAGAATCCACTGTCTGATATCAGCATAGAATTAGCAGTGTGCATACCAAAGACCTGTTCTTTACAGAATGCACTTAACACTGTACTAGATCTCCAACCAACTGATTTGCAAATTGAAGAAGCATATTGTAGACTTCCTAATGATAAACCGTGGGTTGCTGCAGATTACGTTGCTTTGTAAGTGAATTACGAGTACTATATTAGGTTGGTGATTTAAAATTACATGCAGTATCTTTATATTAGTCACTCTAATTCTAACAGTTTCTAGATAAAAAATATCTATGCCGGAATTATCAACGTGACTTAACACAATTATACTTTTAAGGCTAAATTATACAATATAATAAAAATGTTTAATTGTATAATAAAAAAGAAATATTTATAGATCGATATAATTTTGTATGGTACTGCACAACTCTTATTGATTTTTTTTTGCATGTTAATGGTTTTCTATACATTATTATATGCAAAATCGATTAAAAAAAGGAACTTGAAATTTTTTCAAGCAGTTAATTTAGCATTAAAAGATCTTGATCATACACATACACCTGACGATAAAATATATTTGAAACTTAAAAAGAAAGATGTTAGTTTGTATCCTAAATTGATAATTACTTTTATTTCAGAGGTATATTTATATGCCTTGGTGTTCTTATTGCACTAAGCACGGCTTATGATCTCCGACATCAAATATTCTTAAAGAAAGGTGAGAATTTATACTCGTATTATTATGTCATTCTATAATTTAATTTAATATGCGTGGAAGAAGCGAAAGTGGTTGTTTGGCGTTCCATTGTTTCTGCCTACCCTAATGGGAGACAGGCGTGACAGATATGTATATAAAACAAAACCGCTCCACGTTATCTGTACACTTATGTATTTTAAACTACGCAACGAATTTTAATGCAGTTTTCACCAACAGATAGAGTGATTCAAGAATATATATATATATATATATATATATATATATATATATATATATATTCTATATATATATATATATATTCTATACTCTATATATATATATATAGATATATATATATATATATATATATATATATATATATATATATATATATATTCTTGAATCACTCTATATATATATATATATATATATATATATATATATATATATATATATATATATATATTCGTATATTGCTATACTTAGCAAGCGGATTAACAACCGCAGTTAGGCTTTGGTGTTCTTCCTTGTTCTTGTACTTCCTTTTGCATTGAATTTATTAGTAATATTCTTTTTAGATCCGAAAACGGCCAATAAGCTTGCTCTGTCCTTTTCCGTCTATACCAACACTCTACGATTGGTGACCTACAAACCAGTACCAGGAGCTCTGGAATGCTTGGATGGTATCAGAGCGTTCGCAATGATATGGGTCATCATTGGGCACACGTTTGTAAATCAATTGTCAACGGCTACATTGCATAATCCTTTAGATGCTAAAAATGTAAGTATAATGTATTTATTTACAATATTTACCTACTAAGGTAAATTTTATATTAATTTTTTTTTTTATTTGGTAATTTGACAGTTTCCCAATTAGCACCCTTAGGAATCACAATCTTTATTTAAACTTCAATGCACATTACCTAAGTAAATGTACATATGGCAAACTTAACACCTAAAGACGTTGGCAGTTAACCATGAGATAAGCTGCAAATTAAGTAAGCTGTGAAATATCTGAAACAAAATACAATTATTGAACACTTTCTAAATATTTTAAAATGATAATATTCTCAAAGAAATAGCAGGATCAAAATGGGAATAACCATAAATACATAAATATCAAAATAGTAATTGTTTATATCAACTTTACATTTTAAATACGGGCATACCCGACTTGTTTACGAGTAGCTATAAGCAGTTTAGTTTTTAAAAGATGATTAAAAAGAACTATTCAATAAAAAATAATAAATGGTGATATAACATTATGTCCATTTGTAGTAATCTAGATTTTCTATTTATCATAATGTATCTGTTAGTAATTTATGATTTTGTCTCACAAAAAGAATGCAGACTTTAATTGTGATAAAAGTTTTGTTTTTGTTTAAAAACTAAATCACTGAATAGCTTTTGAAAAAATTTCTATGGGACTAATCTTTCAAACCAAAAAAGTAATTTTTACGAACAGTGTATAGAATGGGCCATCCCATCCTTCCCCGTGTGTATCGTAAGAGCAGCGGCGACCCTTTTAAGACAACACCAAAAGCCTAACTGTGGTTGCCGGAGGTAGGGAGGGAAGGGATTGTTAGTAATGTAAACTACCCGTTCTATTGATATCAGTATACATTGTCAGGTCGACCTCCACGTGATCCTCCCTGGAAACTGTCGTGCTGAGTTCCAGGTGCATTCAACCTACTTTTTCATGCTCACCTATCATCACCCTCACTGATGCCCCGTCAGTGTATACCGTTAGCGCAAGCGGAGTTACCATTCCATTATCATGCACTAAAAAAACTGCGGTTGCCAACCCGACTGCCACGCGTGGCAAATACTGGCAAAATCCTCCCAATGCTAATCTGCCATAAGTAATGGCCCATTCCTTATAACAGTCTATGGGAGAGACCTATGTTCAATAGTGGATAAGTAACAACTAATATGACGATAATAATATTTATTTATTTACTTATTACCACTCTACTGTGACTCTGTGACGATATGTAATACGTATATTCAGCCTATCAACAAATAGATGATTTATTTTTAATATTTTTTTTTATTGCAGTTCGCACTGTCATTTTGGTCACTATGGATAACAGCTGCTCCTATCACAGTCGACACATTCTTTGCGCTTAGTGGTCTTTTATTGGTTTATACTACAGCAGGCAAAATGACAGGATGTAAGTATATTTAAAGCTTAAAATATGCATCAAGCCTATTAGTCTACAGACGTTTTTACCATCTGGCATGATATCTCTTTAAAAATTCTTTGCTTAGGTTACCTCTGTCCCATTCGTGTTTAACCCGTAAAGCATTTGTTTGCAAAGCTGTGTTTCGGTTTGAAGGGTGAACATTGAATTTACATGCCATAGAGGCATAACACCTTGGTTCTCAGGAATGGCAACACATAGGGGTTGGCATTATGGACAAAACAGTATACTATGTAACTGTTTATGTGCACAGGCGACGATTACCACTTTCTATAAGGTGGCCCTTTACTTATTTGCCATTTCACATTGCATAAAAAGCTGCTAAATATGTAAATCATAATAATAATATTTGCACTAATATACTATTTTATTTCTGACTCTGAATCCAAAAAACAAAATCATTATGTTACTCCTTAAATGCCAAATTTAATTCAATATTTTTAGCCGTATAAACGACATTGAGTAATAAAATATCCATACATGTATATTTTAACAGCTTCCACAGGAAATATACAGTAATTAAATCAGTCAATGTTATTTTAGCAACACAAAGACTGTTATGAAACACGTTAGCAAAATATTATCAATCAAAATTATATGTAATAAGAATATGCTATTTCCGTCAGTGTGTTATTTATTACTATCAGTTAAATACTCACATAAATGTTTAAAATTAAATTCTAATTTTATATTCCAGTAAAACTCGTGAAGAACTTGCACCTGTTCTACTTAAACCGATATCTGCGTTTATTCCCCGTGCTGGCCGCTTGCATACTTCTTCAGGCGTCACTGTTCCATCGAGTGTCAGATGGACCCGCGTGGGAGGCAGTTGCTGGACAAACAGACCGATGTAGACAATATTGGTGGACTACGTTATTGTACATACAGAACTATTACAACCCCAATTACATGGTTAGTATAATTACTTACCTGCTATAATTAAATTCGGTAATACCTAAATTATGTTTTAGCTTGTTTAAACTTATTACTTATTTAAACGTCTGAATATTATTTCAATGTTTTCCCTTGAGACTACAGTAGGGTTCCTTAAAAAGGGCATATTAAAGTTCTTTCAGGGTCGGTAACGCTCACAGGATATCCTAGGTGTAGCAGGAGGCTTTAGACTACAGTGACCAGTTTGCAGAGGTATCAATGCAAATGACCTTTGTAAAAATTCTCCCTCTGGTACTGCAAAAAAATCAAACATAATGCACTGACCTAACTTTAAAGATTGTGTCCCACAAAATACGACAGACGCCGTTTGTCGTATCTCCTCATTTTCAGTGTACTTAATAAGTCGAGTCTAGGGGCCCTTTGGCGTTGATATATTTTGCGACGTCCAATTTGCGGTCATTTAGAGGAAAAGGCTATGTTGGCTTCCAAAAAATTAGGAGTTTTCAATAGAGTGAGACGGTATTTCACGCCGGAACACCGATTGAATTTGTATAATGCTCAAGTCAGGTCACATATGGAATACTGTTCTAACTTATGGACAGAAGCGCTACAGTACCAGCTCCTTCCGATAGACCGCATTCAGAGTCGGGCGGCTCGAATCATTGATGATCGGCGCCTTACTGTCCGACTTGATCCATTAAAACTGCGTAGAGATGTTGCATCTCTGTGCATCTTCAACCGGATTTATCATGGGGAGTGCTCTGAGGAATTTTTTACTGACTGCTGCTGCTGACTTTCGTTCAACCCGTCATACTCTAAAGTTTCATCCCAAGTATCTGGACGTGTGGCGGTCTTCCGCCGTGCGTTTTAAAGGCACTTTCTTCCAGGCACAACCACTATTTGGAATCAACTTCCAGCAGCAGTATTTCCGAACCGATACAACACTATTGCCTTCGAGAAAAGAGCATTCCTTTTTAAAAGACCGTCAGTACACCTGCAATCCTGTTGGTGTTGTGGGTGATCATGGGCGGCGATAGTCACGTACTATCAAGTGAGCCGCATGCTCGTTTGTACCCTGTGTTATAAAAGAAACTGACCTCAATTATGACAAAACCAGTTATTGTGATTTAAAAACTAAACTATTAACTTCGATAAAATTCAATGGGATCAATCTGTAAGTATATTCCTTGAGACAAAAAATCTAATTTGGTTTACCGACAGAGTTATACTGACAGAGTTATAAGGTAATAAACATAAAAAAGTACAACCGAAACGAGAACCTCCTTCTTTTTGAAATCGATTACAAATATTATTTCTTATCGTTCCAGTGTGTTCCACATAGCTGGTATCTGGCAATAGACTTCCAACTCTTCTTGATATCTCCTCTTATCCTCTTCTGGGTGGTTAATGGCACAAGAAAATCAGCTTGGACTACATTGGTTACCGCTCTTCTGGCCTCTCTCACAGGAGCTAGCATATATAATTTTACGATTGGATTCAAAGCCGGACCTGTTACTTTTGGGTAGGTATTGAAATTTAAAAAGTATTTACATGAATTACAAGCACACTAATATATTAGTTTAAGTAAAAATGCCGATATATATTCTAGCTTGAACAACAGAAAATTTGTGTAATTCTACAGTACTTATTATTACATTTCCTTATTTGGTGTGATAACCATGACACCGTGAACCGCGTGCATAAAAAAGAACTCCAATGAAATCCGAAACTAGTCGACCCATGATGAAGTTAATATTTTAAAATAATAAAAATTTATTAATAATTTATTTATTGATACGTAATTAGTTTTGTAATTTAATTTCAAGAGTTATACTTTTGTGAAAGACAAATAATTATTATTATTATATTATATAATTGTCCCGGCATAAAATGAGATACACTCTCCTTTCCCGTGGATGTCGTAAGCGGTGACTAAGAGAAATTATGGTCGAGGCATGGGCAGCAGCGTCCCTCTTGTTGTTGTTTGTTGTCTCTAAAGCCTAACTGCGGTTGCCAACCCGCCGGCCAAGCACGGTAACTAATGGCAAATATAATATAATAAAATACTAATTAAGTTAATAAATAAACAAGCGTTCTGCAATAAAAAAAATCAACTTCAGTCGCGGCAAAATTAGTTACTTCGATTACAAATTTAAACTACGGAACCGATTTTGATAAAATCTTTATGAGGTCGATCTGTAAGTCTGTCCTTTCTCAGATAAAAAAAAAAACCTAAATCATTTTAGAACAGACAAAATTATCAGGTAACAAACATAAGAGAAATATACATCCGATTGAGAACCTTTTTTTAAAATTCAGTCGATAATATTTAAAAACAATTATCGGCTTTTTTCACCTTGAATAAAATTTTCTATTTCAGTCCCGAAAGAGAAGGTCAGCCAAATTATTTGATGTATTATTACGTGAACACTCTTACTAGAGCACCACCCTTCTTCGTTGGAATGATATTTGGATACATTCTACATATTAATCGCGGGAAGAAGTTAGTTATACCGAAAGTAAGTTTTCTATACAACAAAAAATTGCGAAAATGCTAACGATTCAAATAATATTTAATTATGATAAAACAGAAAATCATATAATCTTCAATCACATAAAAGTAAAGTAATGTAAACAAAAGCACATTTTATTTATATATTTAAAACACACACACACATGCGCTTTTGCACGCACATATACTCACACATACGTATATACGCGCACGCATGCTCGTACGCACATTATCATTCGAATTTATCTGAAAGTTCATAACTAAATTTATAGAGGATTATATCTTCTACATATAATTAAGCTATTTAAATTAAATTAAATTCAAAATGAAAAATCTAGATTCACCTTTTTGGAAGGATATAAATTCTATGTCTATATACAGGGATTCCCTAGCACAGACGTTACGATCCACCACATCTTATAACCGAACTAATAAATAAATTTGGGGGAAAGGGATTGTTGGTTATAGACTGAGAATTCTATTGCTAGCAATATACCCAACCAGGTCGACCTCCTCGCGGTTCTCCCTGGAAACTATTATGGTTAATGCTGATAAATTTATCATGATGGGCTAACTGGCCTGTTTTCATTCTCATCTATCACCCTTCACTGGTGCTCCGCCAGCGTATCCCGTTAACGCAGGCGGGGATACCATACCATTTTCACTCATAAAAAAAAATATTACTATTAATAACAGATACCGGTACCGGTATTGACTGTTTACATCATAATGGATAATCATAATATAGTGTATAATACCCATGATACCCCTCATACTTTTATCTCAAGATTATGTTATTATACATCTGTGCCTGTAATTTTATTTCGTGTGGTCCTTGTGAAGAATAGGCCACAACCTCCGTTCATGTAAGTGTCGTAAGAGATGACTAAGGGAACTTAATGTTCAAGGGATGGGCAGCAACGACCTTCTTAAAACATCACCATAGCATAACTGTGGTTGGCAATTTATCTGCTAAGCGAGGCAACTATTGGCAAAGGCCTTCTAGGGAATGCCTAGTTCAGCAGTGGACATTTAACAACTGATATCATCATTATCATCACTAATAGTTCATTGCTATATCATAAAAATAAATCTGTGGCCTAATTTTTATTTTTATGCCATTATCCCACACTTCAAACTGAAATATTGCTATAAAAATCAGACGAGTTTAATTTATTTTAGATAAGAACATTCTATACTTTTCTTTTAGCTATTCAAAGGTTGACTGTAAAAAATCCCTCTATGGGATAAGTTCGTCATTGTGTATTAAATTTTTTAATGTGGCCTATGTAAATTGTGTACAATAAATATTTTATAGTACAATATAGTACAAGAGTACAAGTTATTTGATTTAAAATTTTTTGGTATTATCATATCAGCCATTACTGGATGCCTCTCTCATAGACTGCCATAAGGAACGGGCTTGAGTCACCTGCATCCACTGACGCTCTGCAATGCATTTGAGGTTGTCACTCTAGTGTGTTTGGGGGGGGGGGGTTTAAGTTGTTACTATTTGATTGAAAAATTAATTAAATATTTTGTTTATAATTGCATATTGTAATATTCCAGGTACAAGTTGCTCTATTCTGGTTTCTGGCTATAATTTTGTCATCTGCAGTAATATGTAGCAATTATCCTATTTTACAAGAAGACTGGGACTATCATACTGTTGATGATATACTGAATTCTTACATGAGATCAGTTTGGGCTTTGAGTGTTTGTTGGATGATCTTGGCCTGTGCACACGGATATGGAGGTTTGATTTTGTTTTTCAATTTACTTAAAAAAGAACGAGGTTTTGTTTTTTTTATATATATATTTGTTACCTCGTACTTCTGCCAGTTGTAAATCTAATTAGAAATTTCTTTTTTTTTATCTAAAAGGATATTCTTAGAGATTGAGCTGATATAAATTTTATCGAGATCTTAGTTTAATTTTTAAATCAAAATAATTGGATTTGCCACAATCGAAGATTGTTATTTTTGGATCTTAATTTAATGATAAATTAAATACTAGTAAATAAATAGTGACAAATATGCACTTTATTGTAATTGTAACTATTGATGTATTTCGTATTATATAAAAAACTTGCTTTTATTCGCGACTTAGTCTGTGTGAGCGAGACAAAAAGAAGAATATGTCCTTATCCATCCCATATAGTACGTTTACCTGTACCAAATTTCATAGCGATTGGTTAAGACGTCAAGACGTTAAGAAGTAACGAACCAACAAACTAATTTTCACGTGTATAATATTAATAGTAAAAATATAGAATGTATGAAATAAATTTAATTAATATCCTTTTAATAGAATGTTTCGCTGTTTTCACCTTTCGCCGGCTTATATAATTCCAAAGTAGAAATAACCGCGTCTACTGCATTTAATTTGTTTACATAATTTGCCATTATTAAATATCTTGATGTCAAATTCGAACTCACAATCTTTAAGGTTTGTAAGTTTATATGACAGCATCATAACCTAGTATTCCTAATTTCTTGACATCAAAATAAATAGTTTTATGCAACTATCATATAAAATTTTCGACAATCGAAAATTCCTTTAAATGAATTTAAAATATCGACTCTTGATTTTCTAACAAATTATAGAGAAAGATGCTTTTCAAAATTTACTGATACCATTTTAATAACTGTTTTAGCTTCGATTGGAGTAGATTTTTTATAGTTTAAAAGTCTTAAATTATTTTGTTTCAGGTCCTATTAATTGGATCCTCTCACATCCCATGTGGAAGATATTGGGAAGACTGTCTTATGCCATGTATCTTTTCCACTATCCACTTATAATCGTTGTTAATGGAAACTCAGTTGTACCTGTCTATTTTTCTACTGAAGTATCTGTAAGTGTATATTTAAATATTTATCATCAGCCGTAAACTGTCCACTGCTGAAATAACCTTTATTTAAATAAGTTTGTTTACAAACTATAGGGTTCGGGATGTTGTAATCTCCTAAGAAGAACCTATAACAAAATAATTAAATACAAAATAATTTTACATTTGCATAAGTACTGTGATTATAATTAGAATTGAGTTTTATTTGTATTTATTATTAAACTGAAAATAAACAAGCAAACATGAGCAGATGTATGAACAGAACGAATGAGCCGGCTATCATTACGCGCAACTATATTTTAGGGAACTCAACGACCCGGCTCATCCCACTACCACTAGTCATAGTTTTGCGGAGTAAAATTCTGTTTATTATAGAGAATGTTGTTCTCTGAATGAGTATCCGAACAAGTTTAAAAAAAGAATACAGTTGAAATAAAAAGTAATTGAAATTGTTGTAAACTCTGTTTTATTTCTTTATATATATATATATATATATATATATATATATATATATATATATATATATATATATATATATATATATATATATATATATATATATATATATATATATTTCTTTTCATTTATCAAATTGCTTCTGCTTTGTTTTAGCCATTCTATACTCATTACAATTATATCTTCTTTTATCCACTATTTAATCATAAACTATCACGTACACATCATATAATCTACTTTATCGACAATAGAATTAAATTGTATTTTGTTTTATACAACTTAGAATGGCAAACAAGCTGACGGCCCACCTGATGGAAAGTGGTAACCGTCGCCTATAGACATGAGTAGTACCATAGACATAACAGAGTAATGTATACTGATTTTTATACATTTTTCTTTTCAGATTCAAAAGTTTATGGCTGACTTTGTAATAGCAATTTTGGCTGCATATCTAATTACGATGTTTGTTGACGCACCATCCTCTGTCTTGATTAAGCATTTCATGGGAGGAGCAGGAGGTATATTTTTTATTTGTTTTTATTAATTTATTTATAAAATAATAATAAAAGAAAACAAAAGATAATCTCACCTTACATCCACAATACTCTAATTTCTCAAATATTTTTTAAACTACAAGGTACAAGAATACTAGTATTTTATTAATATCTGAATTAAAATTTAAAATAAAACTTACAACTTAATATTTTTAGATGTGTTTACTTAAATTGCTATAAATATACTTTTACCTTAAACCTTAGGGACTTAATCTACATTGGATTATAATATACTGAGCGAAATATGGACATGTCGAATATTATGTTCACCATAACGGCAATAAGCGACAAATATCTCTGAATACCTCATTGGGGATTGCAATCGTGGTCATATTCGTATTATGATTATTTTTAGTTACCTAATAACCTTTTACTGTATGTAAATACTATCTCTGATAGATGACAGCCAAATTAGTTTAACCGTTTTCAAGTGATACGAGTATCAATAAACTATATCCATTTTCTATTAACTCAGTGTCTGTACATTTAGTGACTAATACTTAAGCGGTATTTATGTTTTTATTTGGCTTTAACTTTTTGCTCTCTATTACTTATGTGTGGATTTCATAATTAGAAAAACCAATGAAATTGTCCACTTTTACATAGAGTAACAAGATAGTTTATATACTAATTTTTAAGTTAGACCTTCAGAAATACAACTGTGGAAATGAAACAGTATTTAACTTAATGCAATGGTTTTTGCATGATGCCGAAGCAAACATACAGACAAGCATAGTTTTCAAAAATTATTATTTTGACTTCTATTGGTCTTGTTAAGACACCTCATGTATTTTTTTGTTTAATATTTCCTATATACAGTTATCCTGTAGTTACAATTTTATTAAAATAGTAAAAAGTAAGATATGCCTGCAAAATAATAGTAAGCGCCAACATTATTTATTACAAAAATTAAAAAAGAGTTCATAATAAACGCTGTTGATTTATAAGAAGCTTTTTCGTATTTATATTAAATGATATATTTCTCAGGTAAGAAGAGGCAAGAACCGGTAAAACCATTGAACGGCATTAACTCAGCAGCGGAGAACAAAATTAACGGCAACCTGGAGGCACCAAACCACCAAATCGTTAATAAAACTAATAAATAATTTATTAGATTATTGTTTTTGTATCATTTCTTTTACTACTAATACTCATAGCCGTTTATGACAATTTTTTTTATACAACTTAGAATGGCAAACAAGCTGACAGCCCACCTGTTGGAAAGTGGTAACCGTTGCCTATAGACATGAGCAGTAACATGGAGATAACAGAGTATACTGTTTCGCCTATGATACCCCCATGCATTGTCATTCCTGAGGACTCAGGTGTTATTCCTCTGTACCCTGTAAATTCACGCCGTATCCTACCCTTCAAACCGAAACACAGCCATGCACACACAACTGCTTCACGGTAGAAACACGAATGGGATAGAGGTACCCAAGCAATCGACTTTTGTACAAAGTCTCCCTCTGGTGAATTACTGATATGCAATAATTAAAGAAGATTAAATGCTCACGTTGATTACATACATATATTTTATCTAATGGAAAATACATAAAATATTAAGAACTTTATGATGTGGAAAAGAGAAAGATGGATTTAAATATGAAACACTACACTGTTTGGCGTAATAGTTATTCTTATACAGGGATACTGGAGTATCCCATATTAAATTAGTTGTAATTTGTTATATAAAATCCTTTCATTTAATTAGGTAATAATATGCAATAGAAAAATATCAGTCACATATAATCTAAATAAAAAAATTTGTTGTACCATTTTTAAAGACTTTCATCTGATGCTTTAAATAAATGTAAAATTCTTTTTTACATCTATGGGATATTATTTTGCTTTTTTAATACCAATTTATAGAAAAAACACAAATCCCTATCTACAAAAACATTTACTGTGTATAGATTTTCTTGCAAATTCTGCAACTGATTATTTTACATCCATGCGTTACCATTCCTGAGGAATGAATAAAGTGTTATGCCTCTATACCCTGTAATTTCATTGTCATACTCCAAACTTCAACCCGAAACTCAGTACCTAAGTAAAAAACTATAACATTGAATAACATTCCGATGCTTTCAGAGCGGGCAGTTTGGCTTCTTGAAAATTCCTATAGGATGTTTTTAGTACTCCCGTGTTACAGAATCCCGGGAGCTCCGTCAATAACCTACAAGCATTAGTATATTAAACGCGAAGACCGTTGTTCCTTGCATATAACAAATTCATAAATTTAATGTATAAAAAGCTTGGCAGAAAGCTTTAAATAATATATTTTTTACATTACTGCTGCAATGTGCAACTCTGCGGGCTAGTATATTGCATCGAATAGATAACGCCCTTCGTTCCATCTCGATATCGTAGTCATCGATTAGACACTCAGCCACAATGTGTCAGAGATATTTGAACCCAACACTTTATTTAATATTATAGATGTAGACAGAAGGCATACTCCTATGGACCTTTTTACCCCATTTTAAAACATCATGACCTCGCTCTATTTAAAATGATTTCGTAAACCATGGGACACAGGATATTCCTCACAGATTCCTAGTAATCGTCGAAGTCACACAAGATGCTGTTAACTGTTATGAAGAGGATGTAATAATACAATTATATAACCCTCCAACTACATGGGACGCTAAGCACCCAAAGATGGTTTATTTTTTATTATAAATAAATTTGAATCTATTTTTGTATATTTATACAAAAATACCTTTTTTCTTATATATATTTTATCTTATATATTATATTGTCTCGGCGTAGAATAGAACAACTTTTCCTTTTCCATGGGTGTCGTAAGAGGCGACTAAGAGAACTTAATGGTTAAAGGGAAATTAAGGGAATGGTCGAGGGATGGGCAGCAGTGTTCCTCTTAAAACATTACCAAAGCCTTATTGCACTTACAAACCCACCTGCCAAAAATAGCAACACCTTTTAGGAATTTATACAGCAATGAACAGTTAACGGCTGATATGATGATGATGATTGTTAACTAAAATAGTAACTAAATTGATATTATAAAAAAAAAATTACACGTGGGCGCGGAACTAATGATAAAGAATATCATTGAGGTACCGATACTGTTACTCGATACAGGATTGAACGTATAATATCGATACTTAGTATCGATTTAAAAATTATCGATGCATATACATATCGATTGATTTGTTTATAGAATTTAGAATAAATAACAAAAGTATCAATTATTAATACTGTTTATTATCAATAAAATTAATTACCAAGTCTTCAAATATAAGAAGTCCTATAAAAAGGGACAACCACTCATAGGTTCTTCAAAGAGAGTATATTAAGGCAACGCGCACGTAGTGTGCAACACTAGGGATGTTGCATACTAGGAGTCCGTATGCTTCGGTAACCATTTACTATCTGACGGCCTGTATGCTTGTTTGCCACCTTTATGGTGGCTTTATGGTCCTTTTTAAAAGGCCGGCAGCACACCTGCAATGCCGTAGGTGTTGTGGGTGACCTTGGGCGGCGGTAGTCACTTACCATCAGGTGAGCCGCATGCACGTTTGCCCCCTGTGTTTTAAAAAAAAAACTCTCTTTTCTCTCTCTCTCTCTCTCTCTCTGTACAAACTCTAGATAGAACGTAGTATCTGCGGTAGACAAACATAGACAAACTAACAAATTTTGCAATATTAAAAATAGGACGCATTCTAAAATTGTAAACAATTCTTTTTCCAAAAATAATATTCTTATTAAGATGTAGTCTAAATAAAGAGGTACTTGTACATTTTATATTTATTCGTTTTTTCACAATTTATTTATATTGCTTTTTCTATTGCTTTATTATATTGCTATATAGTAATGCATACTTGTTACTCGCATTCAAAGTATCGATAAAAAATACTCATTATCAGATAAAAAATCGAATAAATACTCGTATTAGCTATTATCACTGCTATTATCATTTAATCACTACGTACAGTAGTATGTTGCTTGCATTCTAATAGGAAAATTGTGTTTCAAGAATCAATTTCATAAAATCTATATCTTTAACGTCACTGAACAAGTTTAAATATTTGATAAGTACACAGATAGGCAACAACATGCCTTAAAACATAATACCTACTCTTCATCCTAACATTTTTTACATAATTTTAGACAGAACCGCTACTGAAGATGTATTTTCACAAACACAAACAGAGCAACACATTTTTATATGGTCACGCACATTAAAGTAAAAAGTTAGTGGGACGTGCCATGTTAGACTATATAGAATAACCCTTATAATGCGATATTATCGAGTTAATATTAGACTTTTAGAGATAAGTTCAACTTTGCTTATATTTTTTTTTAATAATAATAATACCATTATTAGTATATATTTTAGTATAATAAATAATATTATTATATCATTGTCTGACTGTCCATCTGTCACAATACTATGTGTTAGCAACATGTATATTGTAGTGGATATAATTAAAAAAATATTTTATCTTTTAAGGGGTCCGAAAAGCCGTTCACAATTTCAAAACGATTTAATTAAATATTCTTTATTGCACTAAAACATACAGTATTCATAAAAATTTGAAACAATGTAAGCAAAGGTGAACTTATCTCTAAAAGAGGTCTCTTCCTGTCGACCTATGTATTATCTCTCTTCAGTCGTACACTCTTGACAGAGTGGTCGTGGTTTTCACAATGACAGTGGATCGTCGATGAGGCTCTCCTTCGGGATTGAGGTCCTCGCAATATGTCTCCATCTACTTTTGTTCGCCGCCGAGCTATGTATTATATGATCCTACAAATAAAAAGAGGATATCGTATGAAACGGTTTTATTTGTACATTTCAAAAGTTATTTTCTACCAAAGGAATAGGTTCTCAATTCCCTTGTAGTCATTATTTATTTTTTAGTCAAGATCCCAGTTATTCAAACGAAATTTAGTTAGTATTTTATAATCGATGCAGTAGATGATGAATGAACGAGATTATGACATTAGATAAATACATAGCCATAATAATTGTTAGATTTACTACAGAGCTACAAAAAATAATTTATTAAAGGTACTTATCTTGAGTATTTTATTTTATTTTGTAATATGTATAAAATCATATTACGCCGACCCCAAATGATTGGGATTAGGGTAGGAAGATGATGGTGATATCTTGAGTATAAATCTACGTTTTAATAATGCACGTTTACAATTGATACGAACTTGTTAATGTCTGCTTCTTTGTAGCCGTAAGCGATTAAATGTTTGCATCGAATGTGAGTCCTCTATAGCTTGCACAGATGTCTAGCATTTTGTCTTGTTAAATTTAGCAATAGATTTTGTTATACAAACTAAAACCCACTGCGATCGTATCAAAGCCAAATCGGTTTATAAATGACGGAGTTATGAGGTGACAAATTTAACATATTTTTTTTTTATTCCACGTATTTTTTTTAATTATGACCGAAAATGTGAAAAAACCAAATACCGTAATTAGCGTACCGTATTACGTAATTACCGTATATACATAATATTAAAAGAAAAATAAAACGACATTTCCAACTAGGACTGATTTTTTTTTTAGAAATTATACTAAAAACTTAACAAATATAGTCATATGGTCCAATTGTTAACCATAGCTGTGGCCTAAAATAAAAAAAATATGAATTGCACATATATATGTATATTAATACAGTATGTAACCCATATAATAAGATTTTTTCAAATCCAGCTGGTAGTATATTAGCAGCTTAGAACAAACAAATAAATTTTTGTTTTTAGAATAGAATAGAATAGAAAATATTTATTGTCAGAAAAACACAATTACAACAGAAAATAAAAAAAAATATTACATATATAAAAAGTCTCATATTACGCAAAAGGAACCAGCTCAGCTCATTGCACTGGGGCACTCACAGCTGCTGTGAGTGTCCCAGTGCAATATGTACAGCTGTACAGCGCTGGTTTTCAGCCAGGCCCTCTCTTAACATATTTGTTCTATATCATATTAATATAGATTAGAACCTACATCAAGTTATTAATTATTATCATAATGTTATGTACTTTGAATATTAATAAAGTAATGACGTAGACATATATCAAAATGGCAACTGACAGATAAGAGTGTTGATAAAGTAATAGAATCCTT